TTAGGGCTCACGTCTGCCCAGTTAAACCTGAGCCAGGACTTGACCCTGGCCCTCCTGCAGGACAGCACTCTTCACAGCTGGGTGGGTCTTCTTCCTGAGCACGGGACTGCATTTGTTAATTAAAAAATTACACCCTTTCTGGGCACTGACCTAGTTTGTGAGGACATGGCCAAAGGCAGCAAGGAGGTGGGGATCTTTATAAATGAGGGGGCCTTTCACGGTCCTCCCTCAGGAAAACAGTGAAGGAAACTGAAGTCAGCCAACACACCAGACAAATTTGCTCCTTCTGTGGCAAAACCAAGATGAAGAGGCCATCTGTAGGGATTGGGCCTTTGGTTCCCGGACCCAACCAGCTTCTGCCACCACAGTGAAAGCCAAGACTGAGGCACTGGAAGCAGTGGGAGCTCTGTACCTTGAAACATGGCCAGCTTATAATAAATGGGTTAATTTATGGAACAGTTACTTCAACTTGATAATGTTCTGACATGCATTAATTTTACTTCTCAAAGCTTGGGAATTAAAATATTTTCACTTTTACTAGAAAAAAATTAGTTACAAGATAGCCATGTTTACAAGATAGCCATGTTTATTGTAAAGAGGGAAACTACTCAAAGATGTACAAAAGGGGAAAAGTATTAACTCTTTAGTCTGCTTTGAGTCCTTTTTAGTGTCGACCCAAGTGTGGACTTGTTGGATAATGGACTTGTTGGCTAGGATTATCCTGTTAAACTTTTTTTAAAAAAAGATTTATTTATTGGGCTCTCCCTGGCGGTGCAACGGGTTCAAGTACAGCACTGTGAAGCTAGCCACAGCTGCTTCAGCACGAGTTCTGTCCCCGCCAGGGAGCTGACCCAAATGGTGCAGCAGACCTCTCCTGTCTCCCTGCTGCTCCCCTCAGACTGTATACTTCGTCAGTTGGCCTGTTCTGCTCCCCACTCCGTCTCTGATGAAGCCTCTCACCGCCCCTGCACCTCTGGCCTGTACCCCAGTTCTGTATGCAAACATAAAATCTTTAAAATTCAAAATGGGGGTCTTCCCTGGTGGCCTAGTGCTGGTGGCTCAGCACTACAAACCTGAAGGCCCACTGAGGGCCTGAGTTCAACCCCCGGCCAGGGAGCTAGCACAGCAAACTCCTGTCACTCCGCTGCTCCCCTCAGCAGTGGATTTCAGTGGCTCTGCCTGCTCTGCTCCCCATTTTGTCTCTGGTCAAGCCTCTCACCTCCCCCCAAACCTTTGGCCTACACCCCAGTTCTAAATAAAGAAAATCTTAAAAAACAAAAAACTGGAAATAAAATGGTTCAAGGTGTTAACCTTCCTGTCAGCCAGACTGCCAGCTGTTGACTAAAGAGCCCTTAAAGTTTCACCTCCTGTTCTACTGGCATCTGGTGGTGACGGTGGCACAAATTCCGGTCTTCCAGTTAGTCCTACACTAGACACCCATTTAGGTGGCTAGAACGGGAAAAACAGCAAGAGCTGAGAAGCACGTGGAGAAACTGGAGCCCTGCGCTGTGAATGGGGTGTGACAGGGCACCCGCTCTAGAAAACGGGCGGCTCCTCTTCCTTGGACTCCGTCCTGCCTTAAACATTTTGACGTCTCATCATCATACCTCTTTGCTCTTGCTTTGCTAAGTCTGCCTCAAGCCCATGCAGCCCGACTGACATTTCCAGGGCCGCCGGCTCTGCGCTGCAGGGCAGTGTCCCTCCACACCTCGGCATCTGCAGACCAAAAATCCTAGCGCAGCATGCAACAGGCATCTCCATATAAAGGCTTTTTTATATTTTTCTGTTAAAGCAATACAAATTTCAGGTATGCATCATGATAAAGCAAATTCTGTATAGTGATGTCGCTCACCAGAAGTCCAGTTCGCCTTTCACGAGATAACTGACTCCTTTCACCTATTTAAGCACTGTCCTCCGGTAGTCTCGATTTTGCTCTTAGAAGCTAAAATTTTTAATTTTTTTATAGATTTATTTATGCATATTTATTTATGGGGTACAGACCAGAAGTGTAAGAGGGTGCGAGCACTCGCCAGAGACAGAGTGGGGAGCAGAACAGGAGCACTGACTGAAACACACTGCTGAGGGGCGCAGTGCCCCTGGGGCCCAACATTTTTGTTTTGTTCCTTCTTGTTTCTTTGCCACTTGGATGAAATGGTGTTTGTCCTTCTGAATTATGTCACTTAGCATAATGCTCTGTAGGTCCATACTTGTTACTGCAAATGACAGGATTTTGTCTTTGTGAACTACTTTTTTAGTAAGAATGAGGCATGTTTTTTTAAATGGTTAAACTCCCCCCCTTTGGAATTAAAGTGATTGAGAATGTATCAACATATTGGAAGTTTTTTTGACATAATAGTTTGCTAAACTATTTTAAAAAAGATTTATTTACTTATTTATGCATAGAGAACTGGGGTACAGGTCAGAGGTGCGGGGGTGCGAGAGGATTCACCAGAGACAGAGTGGGGAGCAGAATAGGCTGACTGACCAAGTATACCAGAGACAGAGTGGGGAGCAGCGAGCGGGTCAGGACAGGTCACCACTGCGGCAGGGGATCAAACTCGTGCTGCAGTGGCTGCAGTCAGCTTCCTAGCACTGTGCTTTAACCTCTTGAGCCTCCTGGAATTTTCCTGGGGATAATTTGCTTGCTTTCATTGGACCAAACTGAGTTGTATTTTCATTAAAACTATCATTACAAAAAGTTTATGGGCAGGCACGCACGCTTCCTTTTGCTTGTGATGCTGCTCAGCAGTCTACCCTGCGTGAGTTAGAAATTGTTTAAACATTCTAAGTGCAGCTTGTTTATCTCATACACCCCTCGCAGGTGATCTCTGACATGTTCACACATAGTAGCACAGATGTTATTTTTAATAGCAAGTGATGGCAGACCAATGCCCCAGAAGACCAGTTAACATTGTTGACCAACCCCCAGGCAAGCCTTGATGCAAACAGGAAGCCCTGATACTCCAGCCCCCGCCCCTATACACACCCCATGTGGAAGTATTTGGAGTCGGGTCTCTAAAGATGCAGTGAAAGCTTAATGAAGTCCAAGGGGTGGCGCAAAGTATCTTCTAGGGGACACCAGAACACGTCTCCCTCTCCTCCACGCACCCATGGCATCCAGTAAAGGCCACGTCAGGACACACAGAGAAGATGGTCATTGCGCGCCAAGAAAGAAACCTTACCAGACATCGACCCTTTTGGAACCTTGACCTTGGACTTACAGCTTCCGAAACTGAGGAAATTCCTTTCTGCTATTTAAGCTGCCCAGTCAGTGGTATTTAGTCACGGCAGCTGGCGCTCCCTAATAGAGTAGCTATTTTCACAAAGATGCATAGAATGTTCCTGGAAATTTCAAGAACTTGGCAAGAACTGGGCAGGGGAAACAGGAACTAACTATGCAGTGTAACCCTTGTGATGGCTTAGCATGTTCACAGCTCTGATGTTCCTCCTTTAAAAATACAGACCCCTGGGCCCTCCCTGGTGGCGCAGCGGGTTAAATCACAGCACAAAGAAGCTTAAGCCACTTCCACATGAGTTCGATTCCTGCCTGCCCCAGAGGAGACCACATGGCGCGGCAGACCTCTCCTGACCCGCCCACTGCTCCCCTCAGCAGTGTACTTCGTTGATCTGCCTGTTCTGCTCCCCGCTCTGTCTCTGGTGAATCCTCTCACCTTCTGCATCTCTGGCCTGTATCCCAGTTCTGTACGAATAAATAAATAAATCTTGTAAAAAAAAAAAAAATACAGCCCCGCCTCCTCCGTGGCCTAGAGGTGAGTCTCCTCTATCACCTCTGAGGCCTGAGTTCCACCCCCAGCCAGGGAATGACCTCCAGGGCGCAGCAGCCCTCTCCTGTCTTCCTGCTGCCCCCTCAGCAGTGTGTCTCAGTAGCTCTGTCTCTGGTTTCCAGTACCTCTGGCCTGCAGCCCAGTTTTTCTATGCATTCACCAATCTTTAAATAAAAAATAAGGGCCTCCTTGATTGTGCAGGGGCTGGGGAAGAGTGCTGCCAAGCTACTGCCAGCCCCCTCAGCGTGAGTTCCATCCCCGGCCAGGGAGTGACCCAAATGGCAGGTCTCCCCACTGCTCCCCGCAGCAGTGTATTTCTGTGGAGCTGCCTGTTCTGTTCTCCGCTGACTCTGGGGAGTCCTCTAAGAAATAAAAAACAAGCCACAGACCCTACCTCTACCCCGCTGAGGGTAGTTTGTGAAAGGTGCATAGCCTCTGCAGAGACAGGGGGAGATGGCCACCACGTGGAAGTCCAAGCTGAGCCTGGAGAGGAGCTGCGCCTCCGCCCGCGGCCACGCGAGGGCGCTGATGCGGAAGCGGTTCGCCGCCAGGAGCTGGAGCCTCTGTGGGGGAGCCCCCGGTGGCGGGCTCACCCCGATAAGCTCCTTCCAGTTTCTTGAGCCAGAGAAGCTGTGGGAATGAATGCTTGTGCTTGATAGTGGACATTTAAGGCAGGAACAGTCACGTTGTAGGGAGAAATGGTGCAACTCAGGCTTTTCTTTGCCGTCCCGCCACTGGCCTCTGGCCACCACGGGTGCTTTGCTTTCCGCAGGCTTCACTGCCCACCCGTGGCGAGTGATGCCGGGGTGCTGGGGCATGAACACGGGCGTTCGTGCAACCTGCCGTTGCAATGCAAGCACAACGGGACAGATGAGAGCGAGCTGGGAAGAGAGCGCCGGCAAGAAGCTAGCCAGGGTGCGGGGCTGGCGGGGGCTGGAGGCTCCTGGGGGCTGCCAGCCCCGGCCCCCTCCCACCTGCTACCTGCCCACCTGCTGGAGCCTGTGCGCCTGGTTACCCACCCACCTGCTGCTTAATGATGAGGATACTGTCTGAGAGATGGCGTCATGCGAACACCCTGGAGCACCTCAGGCCCCTCCTGCCCGTCCAGAAACTCCCAGATGGCCTAATTTGGGCGCTGAAAGGCCCCTCCCCAGCCTCCCCACGCCAGGCCGCAGCTCGGGTAACCAAGTTCCAGCACAACCACATCCAGGCGGGCAGATTTCAGAGCGGGGTTTAATGCCGTGTGCTGTCAACACCAACCCATTTTCAGAAAGTCCTCGGGGGCTGTGGACGGGAGCTGTGGCCGTCCTCAAGGTCCGGTGAGGGCTTAGGCGGTTTCAGACGCAAACGGGGAAACCGGCATCAGCAGACACCTGGAGGGAACAAGCAGGGTGAGCGGCTCCCCACCGTGGCGAGGCGGAACATGGGTGCTGCAGCGGGCTTCCCACCCAAACCCCGAACCCCGGTGCCCCTAAAGCTGCTGCGTGGGCAGCGGCGGCGGCCATCTACGCTGTGACAGCGATGACGGGGCAGGCACACCGCCACGTGGACTCAACGTGGTAGTGGCTGGCACAGCAGAGACAAATGGGCCAGCCAGGTTCAAAGCGCCTGCAGCTGGGGGGCGGCTGGCTGCCCTCGCCGCCCAACAGGGTGTCTCTGTCCCACCTAGGGCTGGGCACGGTGCGCGGCCAGGTCGCCTGCAGGAATGAGCACTGTGGGCCAGAGCCCACCCCCAAAGGCTGAGACTATTTCCCCTGCAGCTCAGTGCCTAGGGAGCCCCACGCTCAGGCAGGATTCTTCAGGGTGAACAGCCTAGGTGAGCCCCCAAGCCCTCAGTCCCAGAAACAACGCCCCATACTGGGTTCACCCACCGACAGCGCTGAAACTTACCAGAGGGGTCCTTGGAGGACTGCTTACATTAACTGTCCTTCTTAAATTTGCCATTGATGTAGGGCACCCAGTCCAGAATCAGCCTCCAGTCAGTGGCCCACACCAACCCCACGGCGCCCACGGCACCCCACATACCCGCCGTGGGAATCCTGTAAGGGGACAAGGGGTCAAGCCCTGCGCAGGACTCACTTCCCGCCATACAGCCGGGCCCCTCACCACCCCCAGCACCGGTGTAAGGCTGGTGCCTGCCCAGGTGTAGACTCATCCCTCCGGCCGTCCCTGAGGCAGAGGGCCTGGGCAGGGTGCCTGTGGGCCCAACCTTTGTCGTGTCTGTGCGACCACTCCCACCTGCTTTCATGTCGGGACCTGCTTACAGAGAGAAACTCTACTGCTGCTCAGCAGTACATAACAAGAGGTAGCGCTGGCCCGCAGGCAGCAGCAGGGGAGCTTACAGCAACCTGTTGGGCCCCCCCCCCCGAGGGCGACGCCCCAGAGGAGGACACCTACCAGGACGCTGCCCACGCAGAGGGCAGGTGAGCCACTGCGGGTGCAGGCGGCAAAGCACAAAACCCAGGTGGGGCGCCCAGCACCAGCCAGCATTTGCCCACTTCCTGAGGTCACGTGACATGAACTGAGCCCCACCTCCCAGTGGTCAGCCCTAGCATCCACCTGGCCTGCCCCTGGAGCCGGAGCTGGGCCCACTGTAATGAGTAAAGAGAGGGGACAGGAGCCCCTGCCCAGGGACAGTGGCTTCCGTCACAGGCATGCTCCCCTCTGGGGGCCCAGCTATCACGCCGTGAGTTGCCCTCCACCAATAAGCACAGGTGTGAGCATGGGAATGGGGGGCTGCAGCCTCCGGAGGCTGCAGGGGACCACCTGACAGGGGACCGGCTGTTTCACCCTAATTCCTGCCCCACAGAAACTGATGATGTGATGACAATGACAATGACACATGACATGACAGATCCCACCACAGGCCAAGAAAGGCCAAAATTTGAATCCAGGTCGCCTCCTTGCTGGTCACCATAACCCACTCGCCCGGCATGTCAGAGGGCTGCTCCTTAGAGGAGAAGGGTCTGTTTCCACCGGGAAGCGAACACCTGCTACCTACCCTGCCCCAAGGTCCTACCAACACCCCCCCCACACACATACACGGCCCACGTGACTCAACTGTGCCTGGTGGGGCTGGGGCTACTGCTGTCACATCAGGCAGTGTCAAGTGTCCGACAGAGAAGGACCCTCCCACAGCTCAACAGCTCTTAGTGCTACCGATAGCCAGAGGCGCCCGTGCCTGACCATCTTCGTGGTCATCCCGCCTTGGTACCCTGTGGTCACGCAGAAGGAGGGAAGCAACTGTGAACCTGAACCTGCCATAGGCACCAAGGAAGGATGCAGAGGGTAACGACATCGATGCCCCTCCTGGCATTTCCTTGTCACACCCTCGCCTTGCTCTTCTGTTTTCAGAAGAAACCAGGGCTTTGGGGCATGGGGCTAACACGCAGGTTCAAAGTCTTGTCTCCCAGAAGCCAGGGGCTGTGGGACCCCGCAAGCCCCCTCCCCTTTGTTACTTAAATCATATAAACCTCATCCGTTGGCTTTTCCTCCTCCAGGGGAAGGCTCGCACCAGGGGCTGGTGCTTGGGAGCCTCGGGGAGTCTCTACCCAGGCACAGATGGGAACCAAGACCCAGCCTGAGGAGTCCTGAGCTGCATGGCTGCTGGTGACTTTCACTCGGCACCTGCGAAGGTCCCAGACCTGGGTCTCACAGCTGTACGTGCCAGACTCAGTGTGTAATTGTTGGTCCTCACCAGCTCCACTGCCCAGAAACGGCTCGCGCGTGTCACTCCCTGCCGGGGATCAGGGGCACAACTGCCGCGCATAAGCCTCTGTTCTCAGCGCCCTCCATGCGGCTACCACAGACACCCCGGGCTGAGGTCGTCCCAAGCCTGGGCCTCCCAGCCGGGGTCACCTCGATCGCACCGGCCTCCCACGTGGCGGCAGGGGCAGGGACTGCCATCGGTTTCACGCTGCTGTTCGGTATCGTACGTTACAAAACAGCAAGGCCAAGGCGTCCAGGTCCCGTTTTCAGGCCTGAGAGCCGAGGTGTGTCCAGACCCGGCCCTCGGGAGCGCTGGGGAAACAGGCTCACCGCGGCGCGGCCCGGAGGCCGGGCCCCCGCCCCCACGGACGTGTGCCGGGGACAGACCGCTCTGCCTCTGCGAGCCTCAGTGTCCCCATCTGAACTTGGCACTGGGGACAGCACAACTCAGGGTCGAGCAGCGGTGGAACGGACAGGGGAAGAAGGAGTGTGGAGGGGTCGGGTGCCGCGTCCTCACCAGTTCTTGGCCAGCTCGCGGTAGCGCGGACCCAGGAATCTGGTCAGCATCCTGGTACCGTCCGCGGCTCAGGGTGACCCCGGCCCTCCCAGCAAGTCCGCGCTGCGCAGGCGCGGCTGCCGAAGTGCGCGTGCGGAGACGAAGGCCCCGCCCCCGCCGGTGCTGCGCGCGCAGACGCGAAAAGCGGTCGCTTCCACGGTAACTTCCGGGAGGAGCCGGACAACTTCACGGCGCGGACCGACGGGGCGGGCCGGGGGCGGGGCTTGTGGCCGCGTGTCGCGCGAGGCTGCTCGTGTTTCCCGGCTTCCGTGGTCACAGTGCCCCACCACTGGGTGGCCGCCACCGTAGTTGACTGCAACGCTGTGCTCTTACTGTGCCCCAAAATGTTTTAGTTAAGGAAACTGAGGCCGAACGGGGAAGGGACGTGCCCTGGGTCGGGGTGGGGGGCGGGGAGGGCTGAGGCCTCAGCCACCCCCAGTCTTACAGCTGCTCCGGGCACCAGCTGATGCGTTGGGTTGGCAGCGCCTTAGGGTGAGCCGATCCGGCTTCCAAATCACTGGGAGCCCTGTCACACGTGCAGGCGCCCGCCGCACCGGGGAGCCCTCAGCGGCCACCTTCCCGTCCATCTGCGGCGCTGCTGGCTTCGGTCACTGCCTGGTCGAGTCCTCAGGGCAGTCCCAATTAGGTGTCGGAAAGCCACGTCAAGCTCGGAATCTCCTTCGGAAATAAGGTTTTTGCGGGTATCATTAAGGTGGTTATTACCTTGCTGGAGGTGGGAGGGGGCACTGGTGCCACGACTGTGCCCTTTTGAGAGAGGAATGTGGACACAGCAGAGGTAGAGGCCATGGGAGGATGGAGGCAGAGGCTGGGTCACAAGTCCGAGACCTGGCGCCCCCCACAGCTGAAAGAGGCAGGACGACCTTCCCCTGGCAACTCGGGAATGGACCCTGCAACACCTTGACCTGAATTTCCGGCTCTGGTGAGAGTACATGCCGCTGTGTATTAACCACCCCCAGTGCTGGGTGCTCCAGCTGAGACTCACCTTCGGGTTTGCTGGTGACTGGAGTACCCTCGCCCTATTACCATCTTTTTCTAAAGATTGCTTTAGTTATGCATAGAACGGGTGGGAGGGGTGCAGGGGGTGAGAGGACTCCCCAGAGTGGGGAGCAGAACAGATTTAATGCAACACACCGAAGTAGCAGTGGGGAGACAGAAGAGGTCTGCTGCACCATGTGAGTCACCCCTGGTTGGATAGACTCTGGCCTCAGTCTGCTAGACTGAGACTTAACCCCTATGCGACCAGTGCAATCTTTCATGGGACACCTCAGGTCACATAAGCCACCTCCTTGTGATGTGGACACAAGGGGCCACTACTTGAAAGCATTCCTTTTCTGACCCCCAATTTTCACTACTAAGCACACAGCAGCTGAAAGATGGGGCCATTTCATGTCACCTTTATTGCTACAGTGCTTTTACATACAGGGCAGTGCTGTTACATACTGACCTTAAAAGAGGATCATTAGAAAATTCAAGTAATCCAGCCAGCTATATTGGCACTTGTATAAATTCTTTAAAGCAGCTTTGGAAAATGCTTCTCTTGAGGTACTTGGGACACAACCACGGGTGGGTGTTTCTCCGTGTTACCTGCCCCCACACCGGGCTGATCTCTGAGGTCATGGCCCCTCCCGTCCATACTATCTACAAACCCAGAAGCTAAGGAGAGGGAGATAGGCGCCTCGGATGCAGACCATGTGGTCACTAAGAAGCCCCACAAAGGACTGGCACTTCCAAGTCCCCTGGATTAGCCTCTTTGGGGGATGGGAAACCCCCCCCCCCCGACCCCCCAGCCCCAGAGGACCAAGTATCCTCAGGTTATAGTGCCTGGCACTGGCCCTGGGGTTTCCTTAAGCTCCTGTCTGGCATCCAATTACCCAGCCTCAGGGATCCCAGCCCCAGGGTTAGTCCAGGCAGAAGGGTACTGTGGGCATGCCTGGCATGCTGGCTATAATGGGGGTGATAAGACCCCTTTGCAGGTGGTAAAAAGGAAAGCTGAGATCCCACAGGCTTCACATGTGGGGGTCATAGAGGGTGACAATTATCAGATCTTCCTGGGACCACAGGATTCCAGGACTAGGTTTGGTTTTAAAGCTTCTGGTGCCACACAAGACCAGAGATTGGGGGTGGGCTCAAAGGCCAGCTGCTGAGGCCCCCTACTGTGGGGCCACAAGCTGTGCTCCAGCCTTGTCCACACTCCCAAGTGTGGGTAGCAGGGGCTTCTCTGTGGCCTCTCCCATCAAAGGAATGCTGGGAGACGTCTGGGGGATTCCCAGCACCACGGTCCAGTTACATAGCTCCTGGCGAGGAATTTGGCCCCAACAAAACCTGTTTAGGAGGTGTATGTCTTTATAGAGGGCAGGCTGCTTGGGGGAAGGAGCCCAAGAATGCTATCAGAGGATGCCCGGGGCACTTAAGCTGCTTCCAGAGTCCTTAGCTGAGCCCAGAGTGACCCCTAGAGGGGACGGGATGACCCCCAATAGAGAGAAAGGCCCAACTACCACTTTACTCGCAACAAAATCAAGAAAACCATCTCTGAAAAACAAATCGGGAGACAAACACCTCCTGTCCCCACCGGACCCACTCCAATCCCATGTCCCAAGGCTTCCAGAGTGGGGGGTGGGGTGGGAACCTCAGTTTACACTGGGTCTTTTTAACACAATTTTTAATAATCTGGTTGATCATGAAATGCATCGCTTAGTTCTAGAAACAGCAGAAATAGCAAGAGACATGAGTTTTATACAAAAAAATTTGTCGCTTACAAAACATATGCAAAAAAAGCTTAAAAAAAAAAAGGCCAAAGGCATCATTCTTGCTAATTTTCTTCTACAATAATAAAAAAAAAATCTCATAACTAACTTTTTTTAAATTTTCCTTAAAAAAAATATTCGGCTTAGGCACAATCGCTGGTGGCTTCTGCAGAACAAGCCAGTTTGCACAGCGTCTCCCTCCGGCGAGTGATATGTTTTAACTCTTCCACGGTTTATTATTTAAGGCATTTCTTTTCTGACAAAGTGAGTATTTCTTACTTGCTTTCTGGTTAAAAAAAAAAAAGTCCTTCCAGTCCAGCCTGGGCTGCAGGGCGGAGGTGCAGCTTCCGGGTACGCTGGGCAGGTCCCGAGGGCCGCGGAGACCGAGCCCGTGGAGTGTGAGGGCGGGGCGGGGCCCCCATCACCCATCCTCGTAGTGTCCTCAGGGCAGGCCTGTCGGCCTGGAGCAGACCTGCCCAGGTGCGCGGCCAAGCGGCTCGTCCCAGGAGGCCCCGTCACATGTGCCCAGAGGGGTTGTGGGCCTCACTCAGGCCCGGGTGGGCAGCTGAGAGCACCATCTGGGGGTCTCCAACCACACCGGACACCTTCTCCTCTTCTCTTCGCTTCAAGCAGGCCGCTTTGGGATTCAGGTTACGCTCTGGGGAGGGGTGAGGAGAGAGCACTATGGGCAAGTGTCCCCAGGAGAGGGGGCACAGGCAGGGGCAGGGGCCAGCGCAGTTACAGGGAGGAAACAGGCTGCTGCTTGACACGCCCCAAGACCGGGCTCTTAGGGGCTGGCAGACACGAGCTGGTGTTCGGGGGACGCTGCAGAGCCTGCGCCCAGAGATGTGGACAGGGCCCCAGGCGCCAGCGTGCACCTAGACGTGTGCAGAGGACCCCACCAGCTGCACATGGGCAGGGAGGGGGGTTGGGGACCCTGGAGTGGGCGCCTACCTCGCACCTGCTGCTCCAGGCCCAGGATGACCTGCACGGCCTGCTGCAGGATGAGCAGTTTGGTCTGTGCTTTGTCCGACTTGAGGTGCATCTGGCACATGCGCCCCAGCTCCCGGAAGGCCTCGTTAATGTCCCGCACACGCACCCGCTCCCGCGCGTTATTGGCCATACGCCTCTCCCGGTCCCTCAGGTCTTTCTCCTCCAGGGACAGCACCTCCTCCGTACTGCTGGGTCACAGCACCGGGGGCTCCATTAGTCATGGGCCAGGGCGGGGGTGGGGCTGGGGCGGTGAGGGTCCCGCTGCCTGGGCGGGTGCCACAGCGCGGCGGTGTGGGCATGTGCCGGGGTGCGCACACTTCCACGAAGCATGCTTGCTCGCCCGCCCACACAGGGCCGGGCAGACTCGCTGTGTACCTGCAATGTGTGCGGCGGCCACCAGGTGTGTGTGGCTTCAGGGCCGAAGCCAGGCGAGGGGGTGTGTGGGTATGTCCAGGGGAGCCCCAGCCCTGACTGCGGGTAGTTAATGGGGTTGCCTCCATGGCCTCTCTTCTGTCCCTCCCTGTTCACTGCACATGCCCAGGAGGCTGGGAGCCCCAGGAGTCCCTCCTGGATGCAGCCTTCCCAGTCAGAGGACTTGCGGGTTGGGGGCAGCTGAAGCTGGCCTGACTGGCCCCAGCGGGAGAGGCGGAGGCGCTGGCTCTGCAGGCAAAAGCCTGGCCCCAGAGCTGCTGTGTGGGTGCGCTCTAGGGCTGAGGGTACAGGACCCCCACAGGACAACCCGCTCACCACCCCCGCACTCTGAGGGCTGGGGCAGTCTCTGCTGCCTGAAGGGGCGCCGGACGGGCGCTTGCAGTGTAAGCCGCCCCCCCCCCCGCGGGCAAGGGGGTCTGGTCCTGGATCTCCGGGCCTCTGCTGCCAACTACAGGCTAAGGACAAGGGACCTGACTGCCTGTGCCCTGGGCTCCTCCTCGGTGGGACAAGGGCTGATGACAGCCAGGACAGCGCCATCCTGGCTGGTGCCGGGCAGTCCCGAGAAGGCGGAGCCAGGGAACCTGCGCTGGCTCACTCCCAGATGCCCTGGCCTGCTCCTCTGGGGGAGCCTGCTCTCGCCCACCGGCTCACCCTCTCCCCTCCGGGCCTGGGCGGACTCCCCGGCGGCAGCAGCCTGGAGCCCAGGACAAGCACACAGACCAAACTGACAGTCAGACTGGAGGCTGGCTTGCGCCTCACGTCTTTTCTTCCCGCAAGTCCCCACGGGGGATTTGGAAGGGACTTGGCGGAAGGAAAGGTCTGAGGGCACCTGGCCTTCTGGGGCTCGGGCAGCAAGTGCGAGGTGAGGAGGGGCTGCCGTGGGAAGTGAGGAGACGGACAAGCCGGGTGTGGGGGGAGGGGAGAGGCAGAGAGCAGAGAGGCGGCACGGGGACAACGGCTGACGGCTGACGCCCAAACGGCCGTGGAGACGTGGAAACCTCAGAGCTGAGGGGACAGCGGGCGGGGCAGGCCAGGGCCCCAGCTCCGGTCCAAGCGACAGCGCTGCAGGAAAGAAAGGGTTAACGGCCACACAGGAGGGGCGGGAGGGGTTAAGGAAGCAGCAGGCCAGCAGGAGGGAGGGAGAGAGCAGCTCTGGGACTCCCTGTCTGGGCAGCCTGGGAAGCAGAAGCGTCCAAGAATCCCCTGCACGTGGGGCTGACCAGCCTGGGCGGCCCCAGGTGGGCGCGCTCAGCACCGGCACAGACCTCGGCCAAGGCCCCTGCTGGCGGGGCTGAGCCCGAGGACGGCGGGGGTGGCAGGGCCTGCTCCCAGGACGCAGTTCTGAGCCAAAGGGCCCAGGTCTGCAGGGCAAAGGGATCAGAGACTCATTCTTCCATCCCAGAGGGACGGGGCCGGGCCCGGCCGAGGCTCAGTCAGTGCTCGTGTGTGGCAGGAGAGCGGAGAAGGTCGCAATGTGCGGGAGGCGGCGGCAGCAGGAGCCGCCGCTGCGGGGGACAAGTCTGTGGGGACCGTCGCTGCGGGGGACAGTCTGCAGGGGTGTGGTCACCGAGGGGGCGGTCCTGGAGGGGGAGCTGGTCACTTGGGCAGTCGTGGCGGGTTAGGTCAGGCAGGGTCCAGGCAGGGACAGGCTGAGGCCGGCTGGGAGAGCGAGGCAGCAGCAGGGGAGGGAGCAGCGCCCCACTGACCTCGCACCTGCTGCTCCAGGTTCAGGATGACCGACACGGCCTGGTGCAGGATGAGCAGTTTGGTCTGGGGCTTCTCACTGTTGAGGTGCAGCTGGCACATGCGCCCCAGCTCCTTAAAAGCCTCATTGATGTCTCGGACCCGCAGCCGCTCCCGGGCGTTATTGGCCACCCGGCGCTCCTTCTCCCGCTCAGCCTTGTGCTCTGGGGGGAGAAGGTCGTCCTCGTCCTCGTCCGGGCTACGGGGAGGGGCCGGGGGCCAGAGGGAGACAGTGAGGCGGGGGCCAGGCGAGGGCCCGCCGACAACCTCGCGGTGTGGTGCTGTGTGCGTGTGCGCGTGTGCTGGGCCCCGGCGGGGCCGGGGCGGGCCGGGGCGGGGCTGGCACCTGGTCCGGGGCCGGGGCGGTCTCGGCTCCTTCTTCTCCTCCTCGGAGTTGTCGGCCACCGACATGTTCTCCTCGTCCTCCTTCTCTTCCCGCTTGATCTCGCCTGCTCCCGAGGTGCTGGTGCACCCGAGTCCTGCAACGGGCCTGGGGTCAGGGGCCGGCAGCCTCGGGGATACCGCACAAATCCTGTTGCCCCGCGTCGAGAGGTAGAGAGGGCTTGAGCTTCCCGAGACAGCCAGGCCTTCGCTTACCAAGAAAACCCCAGCGAACTAAAAGCCAATCTCTACCGCGTACCCTGCACAGCACACACACCAATTCCAAGATGAAGGACCGACTGGGGAAGGCAAATCCTGACAGCCTTCAGCAGAGCGCGCGGTCACCTCGTCACGAACTCAGGGCGCAGAACTACTCCTGAAGAGACTACAGGAGCTGTTTTCCGAAGAAACACGTCAATAAAGCCCACTTGTCCAACTTCCAGCCACAGGTTTCGAGCCACAAAGAGACACCATCGAAGCTGGACACAGCCAGCGCCCCGAAGTAAACCACCCGGGACGTGGCTTCCGGAGCAGACAGCGTCGCAGCCGGCAGCGGAGGACAAGGGCTCCTGGGAACACGGCGAAGCGCCTGGCCAGGTGTTTCCGGCAGGAGCGCCGGCGCCGCCCAGTGAGCCAGCAGCGGAGGAAAAGCACGGCAGCCTCACGCCCCCCTGGCGGCCACACGGGGACGCCGGCGACTCCGCACGCCCGCAAGACCCCGCCACGGTCACGCCGGAAATCACCTGGCAGAATCTGGAAGAGGGGACACTCAGACCCCCAAGTTCCACAGGGATTTGCAAGTGTGCCCCAGAAGAGTCCTCCGGGAACCCCTGCGAAGCACCCGTGGGCGCGCAGCGTGCAGACGAGACGCGCACCCCGGGGCGCGGCCGGCCGGCCGTTCACAGAGCACGTGACGCGAGTGCGCAGCCACGTCAAGCTCTCAACCACACGAGGCTGAGCTGGCGGCGCCACCCTGGGGACGGCCTGGCACAGATCAGGGAAGGGGGCTGGGGGCCCAGGGCCAAGACTCCATGCCACTAACGCCTGCGCGGGTTGCTCCGGACAGGGCACCAGACCCCCGGCCAGCCTGGGTCATCGCTGTGCTCTGACCCTGCCCGTCTTCCCCCACCTGCTGGGGTGCCACCCCCGCTCGCCCACCATGCCGAGAGCCCGCTCAGGCCCCGGGCCAGCCCAGCCCCACTGGCTTCTTCCCGTGCGCGAATCCTGTGGGCTCCACCTGCAGAGCCTGCCCTCGGCTGCCCACAGCCAGGCCTGTCTCGTGCCCGCGCCCACACGCCCTCTGCTCGGGTCTCCCAGCCCCGCCCACAATGCTGCCCCGAGGCCACGGGGACGCTGTAGCGCTGGGGTGTCTGCTTGCCCGAGCCCTCGCCGGCTCCCTTGCCCACGTCCCCCACACCCAGGGCCTTGCACAAACTCCCCCAAGTGTCTGCTGCTGCTGCTCCTCCCCGCTCTGCCCAAACATCGCAGTCTGGGCCTGCTCCCACCAGCTCTGAAACGACGAGCACCCTCACCAACCGAAGCCTGCCCCCCGCATTTCCCACAGTGCCCGTCTCCGGTGTTTGGTTCACAGCCAATCTCCCCACCCCTGGGCACGTCATACCCCCCTCAGCCGGGGGCTTTTCTGGATTCCCTGGCTTCCTTCCCCATGACCCACGCCCGCCACCGGAGCGCAGCTTCTCGCCCAACAGAAGAGCTTCGACGAGGGCAGCACCTCCACCCAGGGTCTCCTGGGACCACCTGCCTTGCTCAGGAGCAGGGTGGGTGACTGTGCCAAGTTCCAATGGTGACCCCCCCACCCCGCCCAGTCCCATTCTCCAACTCCCACTGTGCCTCGTTTGCTTCAACTGGAGATGGGGGGGAGAGGTCAGGTGGTCCCCAGCCTGGGTGGCTTCGAGTCTTGGCAGGTGGCATCTGCACCCCAGATCTGTGCCAGGCAGAGAGCAGCCTCGGCCCAGGCCTGCAGCTCCAGGTCTCGGGGTGGCGAGGCGCCTTTGCATCCCCGTCTCCGAGGAGGAACGTGGCTGGGGAGTGACGCCCCACGGCAGGCCAGAAAAGGGCTTTCTTACCGCTGTACGAGTCAGGCGGCCGGGGGAGGTCAGGGAGGGCGCTGGGCTGGCCAGGAAGGGCCACGTGGTTGTGCATGAGGTTGCCGCCGCCTGCGAGACCATCTTCTGAGTGACCGCCTCCCACCTGCAGGTGGCAGTGGGCTCATGAGTATGCCCGGGTCTCCCGCCCACCCACCTGCCCAGCCCAGCCAGCCCAGCACTCACCAGGCCGGTGTGCCGCCCGCTCAGTGGCATGACGGGGCCAGTGAAGCCCGAGGCCAGTGTCCCGTGGCCAGGTAGCAGCCCGTGCACGTCGCCTGCTGTGCCCACAGCGTGGCTGCGCAGCACGTGGATGGCTTCATCCAGGTGGTCTTCCATCTTGTTCTGCTGCAGGGCGGGGCAGGGGTGAGGCCCAGGCCAGCGAGCGCCCACGTGGCACTGAGGCGGTCACCCCTCTGTGCACAGGCAGTAAGTGGCTGCAAATGACGCCTTCTCGAGAGCGGCCTACTCAGAACACACCTCCACTGGCCACGGGACTGCAGCAGTAGCTTTGGTCACTCCCCCTGACACTCAACCCAAACACTTGTCTTTGCTAGGGAACACCTGTCCTGCTGCCAGTTCTGCTGGCTGCACGAGCTCTGACAGCGGTCTTGTGGACAGTCTCAGTCACGCGACACGGGGCCATGCAGGACCCGAAGCTGCTGGCCCCTAGCTGCCCTCTTCAGCGGACGGCCACAGAGGGACACTCACCAGGCTGTGCAGACCCCCATCATAGCTGGGTGATAAGGCACCGGGGGCTCCCGCTCGGGGCCACTGAGATGTCCCTAGAAGCAACAGGTGAGCCGTGAGTCGGAGACATGAAGCAGACAGGCGTCCAAGGGCCCAGGAGACCGGGCAGGCCACTGAGGGGCTGGAGGGCCTGCTAGCAGGCAGGGTTTCTGGGGCCTGGGCGGTGTCAGAACCCAACAGGCAGGTTAGGTTTTCCATTTGGACCCTTCCCAACCCACCTTCCACCCCCCCAGAAGGAAGCAGCTGAGCAGGGAAGTGGTTACAAATCCAGGGACAGGACAAGTCAGGGCAGGGTGAGGTCTTTTAATGTCACCAGCCAGGTCTTCCCGAAACCACTGGTTCTCACACTGGCCCCCATGTGTCCCTGTGGGGACAAAGGAATGCCCACGCCTCCCTGGGGGAGTCAAGCACAGCACACACTGTTGGCGGGGTGGCCAAACACCAGCAGTGCCCACTCCAAGTCCAGGCTAGGACTGGCCCTGTTAGCCCTCTGCCCTATGGCCCGGCCGGGTTCCACTGGCCACATGCTCACGCAGTCTTTGCCTAGGCGCTAGCCTAAGAGCGCTGGCTTAGAACTCAGCTCCTCCAGGAAGCCTTCCGGATGCCCACAAAAACATGAGCTGGGTCCAAGACAGAGACAGGTCTGTCCACTCCCGAACCCCTGATGTGGTCGGGGATCACACCGCCCACTGGCCGCCACCCACCCACCGAGGGCTTCCGGCACCATTCCCTGCACAGACCTGCCAGGCCCTGTGGGGAGCCCACCGGGGTTGAGGGGCTGGAGGAGAAGTTATTGCTTGAGTGATCCGGAGAGTAGATCTGCAGCGGGGGTGAGACAGGGGCACCGGGTGGTCAGGGAGGGGCCCACGTCTTGGGGCTGCCAGCCAGGTCACACCAGCCACTCCCAGCCCGTGCCTCACCGAGGCCAGTGCCTTCCCAAGGGCATCCCCAGAGCTGCCGGCTGTGGTCCCTCTGGAGCCTGTGGAGGAGAGTGGTGAAGCTCAGCCTCAGAGCTGCCTCCCTGGACACGGTGCCCCCCTTGCCGGGTCAGCTGCCCTGCACCCACAGCCGACTCCACTCGGTCTGGTCTTTATCTGCTATCTGCATGTCTCCACAGAGTCAGGGGGTGGGGGTGGGGGTGGGGGTGGTGGAGGGGTAGAGACCCTGGTGATCGCGGTTGCTGGAGTGACTGATGTTTGTGTTATTGCTTAAAGCTCTTCTCTCTGGACTTCCAGATTCCGGTCTCTGCAGTCTGAGTGTCTTCTTTTGTGCTTCACCGGAATAGTTCTGGTCCTGAGGTGGTGGGGACCCTGTATTCGTAGGCCACTGCAGCTCCTCCACACCCATCTATCCTAAGTTATGGGTGCCCCTCCACTTTCATCAGCTCTCCCCTCCCCAGGACCGGCAGCCAAACACAGGAGAAGTTTGAAATTTGCAGTGTGGGCTCCCACCCTGGTTGTAGTCTTTAGGCACCTCTCTCCACCCAGCTTTTGTTACATGGACTTGAATTTCCTCACTGTCTCTTCTTGTCTGCTAACTGTTGGTCTCCAATATCCAAGACTACTCTAGTTTCCCCCAAGTCACAAGATCCTCTGGGTCTAATGCTGCAAGCCATTGTCCTTCTTTCCTGTCATCTAAACTCTACTCAAGAGGGACATCTTCCTGTCGAGGCCTTGTGATCTTCATGACAGGCTTCAGGGAGTGTGAAACTCCCCCTTGTTACAGGGTTCTCTAGAAAGACAGAATTAATGCATGAGTTACTTTGAGGAATTGACTTTCTCAGTCAGCTTCTGCAAATTGAAGACCTAGGAGAGTCGATGGTGTAATTCAGTCTGAGGGCCTGAAAACCAAGGAAGACGATGATGTAAAATCCAGTCTGAGGCAGAAAGTCGCTGCTCAATGGCAGAAGACAGGGTGACCGTGCAGGGCTGTCCTTTCTAGCCTTGGGTACCTCTTTGGAAGCACCGGCTCCAGGCCCACCTGAGCTTAATGGCAGCCTGAGCCTGGTCTGTTCACGCTAGTCACAGGGCATGTGTCCAGGAAAGCCCTTGGAGTTCGAGGCCTCCCCCACACCCCCACACTGAATTGCATACACCCAGGGGCTCACACCAAGAGGAAGGGTCATGACACGCCCTGCGTGCCCAGCAAAGCAGCAGCTGCAGGTCAGCTCATTGGCGCTTCATCCATCCTCAGCCAGCCCAGCTACTTGCCTCTTTTTCTCAATTGGAGAAGTTTATAGTCTCTTCTATAATTGAATAAACGTGAGAAGGCCTTGATTTTGCATTGTTTAAATTTGGCTAACCCTTCAAAAGAATCATAAAGAGAGCTTGCTTAATGAGTTTTATCTTATAAAAATATTTGTTGAAGGATCAAGCATGGAAGTAAAAAGACAGTAGCTTCAAAATATTTAGACATTTTTCAATAAAAGAGTTACTGTCGAGAATACTCTCTAATTAGCAGAATTTGCTTTGAACTTACCAGATACCTTAACATCTATAAGGATAATATTACTCAATTCAAATTAATTATAGTCTTCAGGAAGAGACAAATTAAAGTTATCAAAAGTTTCAAATTTACTAGCTATAAACTACAACTTTGAAGAATATTATAGGCAATTTTGTTGAGCCCCATTTTAAAAAATACACTCATAGAAATAAATGTCAGAAATAGGTAAAAGCTGCTTGAAGTTTATACATATGAAACGAAGGGGAAGTTTTGGGGAGAAAAGCAGAGAATAGTTAGAGAAGACAAACCTCACCTGTGTAGCAGGCCACAGAATTTGGGCACACCATCTGGTTATTCCAGCGAAGCTACTTAGTTTTTAGAAAAAGGTGATACATACTGGGAAGAAGAGAGAGAACAAAAGAAACTTTGAAATTCAAAGACATTGAATTTTGCAGGGTTTTGTACATATGTATATAAAACAGACCTTGCAAGCCCTGCTTCAGGATGATAAGACTCTCTCATCTCTAACACTACTATTTATTTCCTGTTTTGAGGGAAATCAGTAATGAAGAAAAACATGATTTTTGAGAGTTTGTTTTTTAATTTCTTTCAATGAAAAATAATCACTGGCACATCCTGGGGCAGCTTGTCTTTGGTCACAACAGTACAAAGAATTATTATTTTACCGATGTGT